GTGGCATCACAGCTCACAGCAACCTCCAACTCCTGGGCTTAAGCGATTCTCTTGCCTCAGCCTCCCAAGTAGCTGGGACTACAGGCGCTCGCCACAATGCCTGGCTATTTTTTGTTTGTAGCTGTCATTGTTTGGCAAGCCTGGGCTGGATTCAAACCTGCCAGCTCTGGTGTACATGGCTGGCGCCTTAGCCGCTTAAGCTACAAGCACCAAGCTGACTATAGTATACTTTTAAAATGTTTTGAGTCAGACAACATGTATGAAGACAGCAATAGGACTTTGGTTTCAATACTAACCATTCAAAAATCACCTCATTTCCTATGCCACCTGAGCAATAAGACTATTACCCACGATATTAAAATCTAAGTGGTTAGTAGTATTTCCTGAAAAGTTAAAGCTGAAGCTTATTAGTCTCCAGACAGATAAAAATCCCTTAGGTAGATTTACTTTGCATTTTGTCTCAGAACATGTGTATTTTAAGAATATAGGTTGAAATTATTTATAAAATATGTATGTCCTTTCTTCTTAAAGACAGTATTTTGTGCTACTCAGATCCCAACCCTAGAGTTCAACTGTGGTTCTTTTCTTCTGCTGTTTTAAAATTATCCATTGCTTCTAGCAATGGCAGATTAAGTAATTTAGGGCAACCCTCCTGCTGAAAGCAACTAGAAAAGCTGCACAATCCTTTAAAATCTACTTCAATGCATCATAAAGCTAGTGGAAAAGTAAAAAAAAAAAAAGAAAACCATAAGGTTAGGATCTATACAGAAATTCAAAGATATGAGCCAGCATTTAGGTCAATATTTCCCTGAGGGCAGGTGTCAATGCAGGAAGAGGCAGACGAGAGGCTGTACAGAGCTTTTTACAAACGTAGAATGGCTCTTACAGGAACTGTAGTCCAGCATCTAACCATTTCAATTCCTGAAATTGTATTAAGGTGATATTGAATTACTAGTGCTCCCAAGAGCCTTGCAGAAGTACTTTGTAGAGAGCAACATTTCTCAATCAGGTTGCCTCATCTGAATTACAGAACAAAGAAAATGATCTAAGCAATTTTCTCAATTCTTTCATAAATAGCACCATTCCTGCTGTACAATTCCTGATGAGACAATTTACCATATAATATTGATGCCATAAGAGTTGGGTTGCTAGATTTAGCAAAATACAGCATACTCAGTTAAAGGTGAATGACAGATAAATGTTACAATTTTTAATATGTCTCATGCAATATTTGGTATATACTTATAGTAAATTCATTATTTACCTGAAATTCAAATTTAACTGAGTATCTCATATTTTACCAGGCAACACTACGTACATTAGGAGTTTAATTTTCCTTACAGTAAATTCACTGTTTACTTGAAACTCGACTTTAACTGAGTGTCTTATATTTTACCTGGCAATTCTACTTAGGGCATTAGGAGTTTAATTTTCTTATAGAATTAAAGCTTTTCTAATGAAATATACTATTCTAGGCTTCAAATTATTTCTACAGTTTTTCAAATACAAATTCTAACACACAATCAAAAATAATCACAGCCTAAGAGCAAGACCCTGTTTCTACAAAAAATTGGCCAGTGTGGTGGTGCACATCTGTATTCCTAGCTACTTGGGAAGCTGACTGTAACAAACAAGTAGTAAATGATTATGTATTCAAAAAAAATTGCACAGCTCTTGTTAGGCTATATTGATAGGTACTTTCTATTTTGGTTGCTGATACAATGCTATCTTTCTTTTTCTAATATTATTTTGTAATTTTTTATATAGAAATATAATTGATTCTGTATAGTTATTTTGAAGTTAACTATATTGCTGAATTTTTCTATTGTTTTTAGTAACTTGCAAGTAACTTGGTAACTCAGAAGTAATGAAATTTGTATTTTTTTTTACAAACTATTGGGATTTTTAAGTTATCATAATTGTACTAGCTAGGATCTTCAACTTTACTAGGAGTGGTGGTAATGAGTACACTTATCTCATAATTGATATGTAGATAATGCTTTTGTTTCCTTATAAAATTGATATATTTGTCCCAATGTTATCTTCAATAATTATGTCAATGTTTTGCCTATAGTTGATGTTCTGTAAATATTCATAGAATAAAGGAGCAAAATATATATATATAACAATATAATACAGAAACGGTATGTGTAAATATTGTGTTCTAAGTTTCTTTTTTTATGTGGAGGGTAAACTGATTTGCTTTGGCTTTTGTGGCACTGAGTATGCAGTTGCCCCTTGGTACATGCAAGGAAATTAGTTTTTGTACCCTCACATATATCCAAATCCTCGCACACTCAAATCCTGCAGTCATCCCTCAGAACCCTCTAGCATATAGGAAAAGTCAGCCCTCATATTCACAGGTTTCACATCCTGTAAATACCATATTTTTGATTGGCTTTGCATGAAAAAAAAAACTCCTGCCTATAAATAGAGCTCAAATCTGTGTTCAGAGTCAGCTGTATGTGTTAAAATTTCTAGGATAACTACATAGAAACAGAACATATAACTTCCAAAGCTCATAGAGGAAAAAAGAAAAAAAGAAACGAGAAAAAATAACCAATCAATATAAAAAGAGTAAAGAAGGTAGAAAAAAGAAATAGAAACAGTGAGACAAACATAAAGCACAAAGCACAATGGGTAAATATAATAAATGAACTAGAAGTAGTTGCTTATGGCAAATTAGCATGACTTACAGACTCCCTCTCTCAAAATAAGTCTGGAAAGCTATAGAAACAAGAAAGAAACATGAATTCCAAAAACCCAACAAAAGAAAACATGAAAAATTCCAATGAGATTTAAGGTAGTATTAAATTGGCACATGTTATGGAGCTACATGGATACAGCTAAGAGGACAGAGTGCAGCTTGAGGCAGTAGGGAGAGGACAGAATGGATAAAAAAAAATCTTAATTTTAAGTCATATTTTTGTCTCTTTCCTCCTTACCATGAAACAATCACTTCTTGTTTGTGACAGACATCAACTGATAAGATAAATATCAGGGTAACGGGGAAGTCCTGTGGGCGAAGGAGTTAAAACCAGTTGTGGGCTGTCCAAGCGCTCTCAGACTTTCAACTTCCCAATTCTCCTCTGCACTGTAACAGCAGTTCTCAACCTATGGGTCGTGACCCCTTTGGGGGTCAAACAACCTTTTCACAGGGGTCGCCTAAATAATCCTGCAAATCAGATATTTACATTGTGATTCATAACAGTAGCAAAATTACAGTTATGAAGTAGCAACGAAAATAATTTTATGGTTGTAGGTCTCCACAATGAGAGGAACTGTATTAAAGGGTCACGGCATTAGAAAGGTTGAGAACCACTGAATTACAGAGAGACAATCTCCTTCTAATGCTGCCAAGGTTAGGCACATTAATTTCTGGTTGTTTATCTCTCAAAAAGCTTTAAGTTTTATACACATGCACACATTTTACTGCTTCTGTAATCTCTTAACATCTCTATTAGGGGAGGCTTAGAGAGAAAAAATACTTTAGTAAATTTTCAACTTTCAAAGATTCAGAGAAATAGGATATTGAAAATGGATGCAAAAAAGTTTACAATTTATTTCAACTTTTGACTGCCAACTGTGCCTACAGGCCTTCAAACTAGATGTTCCTTGGTGTGAAGGATGCCTATAGTGTTGTTCATTTTGCAAATAAAAACAGAAAGCCTAAAATCATGAAAAAGGACTGATGTTTCCTGCTGCTACAAATGTTGCATTTTCATAATAAAGAACAAACAGTAGTGTACTCTATCATAAGAGTTGTTCCAGTCACTGCACACCTCAATTGGCACATTTCATTTCTGAGCACTCATTCATCTAAGTGTTAGTCAATTATTTTTAAAAGATAGGCTCTAAGTCTACTACCCAGCCTAGATTGTGTGGCACAATCACAACTCACTACAACCTCAAACTACAGGGCTTAAGCAATCCTCTCATCTTAACCTCCTATAAGTAGCTGGGATTACAGGCATGTCACCATGCCCAGCTAATTTTTAATTTTTTTATAGAGATAGGTCTCACTATGTTACCCTGGCTGGTCTTAAACTCTTAGCCTCATGTGATCCTCCTGCCTCAGCCTCCCAAAGTGTTGGGATTACAGGTGTAAGCCACCACATCCAGCCTATAATTTGCTTTTAAAATACATTTATTTTATGTACTTCCTGCTCCCCACAACTACTCGTGAATAATTGAGCTAAAGATCTTTTAAAATACTGTTCCGTGTGAAAACTCCTCTTAATTTTTTAATTAAAGATCAATGACCCAATGCCCCTTTACCTTAAGAGATGAGCTAATAATAACAGTGGTTGTCCATCTTCCTTTTTCTTTTCCACCACTTTCAGCCATCTGTCTGTCTTTGGATCAAACCAATTTCTAATGGTGTCACAATCCAAGAAAATTAAAAGCAAAAAGAACACAAGGACATGTTTGTTGAATGACTAAAGACAGAAATGAACTTAGGGTAACGGTGATATTTTATAAAACATTTGAACATCAAAATGAATATCAAAACTTGACAATGGAAAAGCATCTGTCTTATTATACATTCAACTTCTATACTATGCTTCCTATTAATTACTTAATGAAATGGTTTCCCTTTCAGAGCATTAACTTAAAAGAAAGGACTTATATCAAGAACATAAAATGTCTGAGGTTTTATCCTGCTTGCAAACTAAAACATTAGTCTGCTAGAGTTTCATGGATACAACCAAAATATATAATACTTAGAGACAAAGGATAATTTTTTACTCACAGCAATAGCAATATAGCCAGGCCATCATCATTTTCTTGTACCAGTTCCCCAAGCCCAGTTCCCACAGGGTGATGGGACAACAGCCAGGTGGCATCTGCACTCACAGTAGGTTGTAATTATAGGAAAGAAACCCAGAGCTTAGGAAATCTCAACCATTTTTAAGTAAATCTGCCTTCTACTCTAGAGAGAAATGTGATACCTCACAAAGCTATTTGCTATACAACTGCATGATAAGAAAATTTCAAGAAGTTTAGTGTGCTAAAGTTTACAGTATATATCTCAGGTGGAAGGGACAAAAATAAAATTACTGTAAACTTAGTAAAATAAAACTAAATCTGATTGCGCTTTAAATTTGGTACTTTTCTAATGATACTGAGACTGAAAACCCTTAAGCCATTATTTCTACTTCTGTGAAACTTCTGTCTTTTCCCCATTTTTCTACTAGAGCATAATTCTTTTTCTTAGCTCATGTGTAGTATTTGTTTATATATCATAGATACCAGTTCTTTATCAACTATGTATTCATTCTTGACATGCATAAATTATTTCCAGTGTAGTCAAATTTATCAGACTTTTAATTTATACTCAGTACTTTTTGTTTCTTATTTAAGAAATCCTTCCTTACCCCAAAGTCATAGACATTCTCTTTGTCTTCTAAATTTTTAGTTTGGCCTTTCACATTTAAGTCTTTAATCATCAGCATGGATCCAATTTTGTTTTTTAAAAATACGGCTATCTACTTGTCCCAACAGTTTACTCAATAGTCATCCCAAGTCCAGGTCATTTGCAATGCCCCCTTAGCCATATATATTTTCCATATATGCACAGAAATCTGTTTGGGGGTTATCTATTCTATTCCATGTTCTGTTTGATTATTTCTGGGCCAGTGCCATATCTTTTAAAATTACCATCATTTATTTTATTTTATTTTATTTTATTTTTTGGAGACAGAGTCTTACTATGCCACCCTTGGTAGAGTGCTATGGCGTCACAGCTCACAGCAACCTTGATTGGGCTTAAGCAATTCTCTCGCTCAGCCTCCCAAGTAGCTGGGACTACAGGTGCCTGCCACAACACCTGGCTATTATTTTTGTTGTTGCAGTTGTCATTGTTGTTCAGCTGGCTTGGGCCAGGTTTGAATCTGCCAGGCTAGGTGTACGTGGTCAACACCATAACCACTGCGCCAAGCCTCAATTACCATCATTTTATAAGAAGTCTTGGTATTTATTTTCTTTTTTAGAAGTAATATATTCATTCTTGGGTCTTTACTCTTCCCTAGAAATTTTAGAATCACCATGTCAGTTGCATTAAAAAAACTATTAGAACTATTAAAATTAAAATTGCATTTAATATATAAAATAATTTTGAAAAATGAAATTTTTTATGTAGTTGAGTTTTCCCATTTATAAATATGTTATGGCCAGGCGTTGTGGCGGGCGCCTGTGGTCCCAGCTACTTGGAAGGCAGAGGCAGGAGACTCGCTTGAGCCCAGAATTCGGAGGTTGCTGTGAGCTGTGATGCCATGGTACTCTACGCAGGGGGATAGCTTGAGGCTCTGTCTCAAAAAAAAAAAAAAAAAATATATATATATATATATATATATATATATATATAAATATGGTATATTGCAATATAATTAGGAATTATGCCTTAAGTGTTTTCATTTAACATTGTGTCATGAGTATTTTCCTTACACATTTTTGAATTATATAATAGCTGTCTAACTTTCCATTGTGTGGATATACCACACTTTGTTATCATTAGTAATTTAATTAAACATTTGATCTGGTCCCAAGGTTTTCCAGTTATAAATGACTCTGCAATAATAAGGAATTATCCTTCAAAACCACAAATATACTCCCCTCTTTAAAATTCTTCAAGGATTCATCACTGCCTACAGAACAAAATCCAGTCACTTTCAACATAAAAAGTGAGGAAACCAAAGAATTATACCATAGTCCGCCTGATTATCAGTTGGTTTACAAGTAAATATGGATATGTTAGGCTGTGAACAATGCTTTTAAAGCCTGTGCTATGAATCTAGAGCTATGGTTAGTGTCTAAGTAACATGTGAAAGTAGGGAATTTGAAATCATAAAAGTAAATAAAATGGAAATTCTAGAAATGATAAAGAATTGGAAACAACTCAATGGATGGGTTAAAAGTTGATTAGACACAAGTGAACAACAGAAGTCACAGGAAAATATCCAGACTTAAGTGGGTTAAGCAAAAGGTTGGAGAACAGAAAAAAAAAACATAATAGATATACAAGGCATTATTAGACTTGTGAAACAGTCTAACAAAGAAATAACTGAAGTCTGAGAAAGAGAGAAGAGAATAAGGCAGGCCAAATATATGAAAATAAAGTGGCCAAGAATTTTCCAAAATTGACTAAAGACATCAAGTTATATTTATTTTTAAGACAGTTTCACTTTGTCACCCTCGGTAGAGTGCCGTAGCGTCACAGCTCACAGCAACCTCAAACTCTTAGGCTCAAGCGATCCTCCTGCCTCAGCTTCCCAAGTAGCTGGGACTACAGGTTCCAGCCACAACACCTAGCTGTATTTTAGAGACAGGGTCTCACTCTTGCTCAGACTGGGCTCGAATGCCTAAGCTCAAGCAATCCACCTGCCTCAGGCTCCCAAATGCTGAGATTACAGGTGTGAGCCACTGCACCCAGCAAGTTATAGGTTTAAGAACAATAATAAAGTCTCCATAAATTAAACTAAGCAAAAGATTAACAAGGTAAAACTGAAAACAAACAAACAAACAAAGCCAAAATAAAGCTCAAAAGGAACCACTGAAAAAAGGCATACTACTTCAAAAAGGAAAACTGAAAACTGACTTTTCAACAGAAACACTGATAGCTAGGAGACAACTAAGTAACTTTCAAGTGTTGAAAGAAGAGAATACTGGTATTTTGAGACAAGAATCTACCAGTCTCCTCATTTGGCAAAGTATTAATAAACTTCTCATTCCTTTTCTTCAAACAACTTGTCCTTGTTCTTCTCATGTAGCCTCAGGGACAAGTGCCAAGCTTTTAGTAACAGAATTTGGCATCCCCGGGTGGGCCCAACGGTGCCCAGGTAAAACGGCACCTTGCAACTTCTGGAAGAGGCAGCGAGTAGCCCTGGGTAAAGCTGTGGGTCTTCATGCATAGAACCAACTTCTTTTCAAAGTGAGAGCAGAAGGGACAGCTTCAGAAGCTGCTAGAGTCTGTTTTGGTTCCAGAGATCTCCCATCTCTTTTTCCCCAAAGTAGATGTAGCATCCTAGAACCTGAACTGAGTTAAGGAGAAGGAAATGAACCTGGAAAATGCCCAGACTCCAAGCCTTTTGTTTGGTAAGTTCCCCAGTGTACATGTTGAGACCCTGATGCCACCTATATGGGGGGGGTTTCAGACCTTCTTATTGGTTTTGAGGCACCTTTTGGGGGTGGAAGTCACAAGGTTGATAACAACTAGGGAATCTGGTTTGAATTTGGAGTTCATTTGTAGTTTCCAGGGAATGGGCAGACTAGGCCACTATTTGGGGAGGGTTAATGGGGGATTAAGCCACCCATCTGAGGCCCAAGGAACAGGGTTATTAGGCTACCTATGTGTGGAGGGTTTTTAACCCCTTAGCCCTTTGGGTGGTGTTTAATCCCCTATGGATTTCCATTGCCATTTAGGGTGACATTTATCCTCTTTGGGTTCCCATTTGTGAAGCTTCCAGCCCTGAGAGAGGACATTTAAGGCACTGAGGTGCCATTTGGGGTGGTGTTTGTACTCTCTGAATCCCTATTTGATAGGCCCCAGCATTTTCATGTTGAGGATTCCTTATATGGTTTGTTATTTGTGAATATGTTGTAACATAAGGATGCTCCATGTCAAAGTCCCTTGGGAACTTGTAACTGTATCTACAAACCTATGCATAAAGAAAAATTAAATGTATGTGCTGAAGTGCGAGAAGTGGCTATTAAATGAAAATTCCCACTTGATTGGTAAGCCATGCCATTTTAGAATGTTCATGTGGGAAATTCCCCATATTGTTCGCATTTGCAAATTTTTATATCATTTGGCTAGTGAGTTTTTGTATTGGGCTAACACATGTCTGGAGTGTGAGGAAAAGTGGTGGTTGGTACCAATTGTATGGCATATGAGGAAATGTCGTGGTTGGTGGTCCTTGATTTATTCTGAGCTGTTGGATCTTTTCCCAGGAATCTGTTATTTGGATCATAATTTTTATTTGGGTATGCATTCTAAAGGGTCTTCTCCTTTGCCTCTTCCTCAAAATTAATCTCAGTTTGGCCTTTGTGTTTTTGCAAAAGGGGAACTATCTCATAAACAATCTCATAAATAAGAGACACAGTAGTGAGACACTGTTGACTCTCACCCACAATCAGCAGGCTTTGATCCACTAAACCTTAGACCACATCATGGATGCTTCTTTTAAGAATGGAAACCAAATCCTTTAAAATAAGGAAGACAAGGAGAATAACCCCCTTTAGGTACCCCAAATGGTTTATAGGGCTCTGCCAGGTTTTCTCAGATGGGAAATTCTTGTGCACAAGCTTTTACTAAAAGGGTAAATTACATAGAGGAAAATTCAGAGCTTAAATGGCCAACCTGACACTACAGAGTTAAAATGATGAGTCTCA